CTATTACGGGTGCTGTTGCGCCATCAACCTACGTCGTAGGGCAGTGGGTGTCCATCTATAAACCGATTGCATCGTTTGATGGAGTTCCCCGAACTCGGACAGCCATCAACTTTCTGCAGAAGTCGAGAGGCCATCCCCACATCAACCCGCTGGACCGAGTTGTCATCGATGCAGCGGGTAATATTCGGGGATACACAGTACCGTTTCTTCCTATGGGTACGCTTGAAGAGCGAAGGACCCTACGCAGCGACTGGTTTCTGCAGCTTGCAAAGACAGCAGATGAAATCAACTTCACGTGTGTTGGATTATTGTAACGGCGTCCATATAAAGATTTCACTGAAGTCTTTCTTTCATGCTCAGGTACAAGACAGTTCACTGCGATCTTTTCCCACGAAATATGCTAGTCGGTTCCTCTGAGGAGCTCCGTCTAATCGACTTTGACCAAGTCGGGACCCTCAGTTTTGCTACCCCTGACTTTGACGCATCGTGCGTTCTATGTTCGGTATACGAGGCTGTCACGAAGCGGCCCAGTCACAGTGGCTATATAGACTTAACGATCAACGCTGTGGATCGTGTAAATGGGTGGGTTAAACATCTCCTTAACCCCAATACTCCATGGTCGGCCGCAAATGGCGTTACCCTTGACATCGACCCACGAGAGTTGAGGGATTTTATCTGTAGATGGAAAGAGGAGCGTCAAAACGTGAAATATTCTTGGAGGGCTTTTGTGGATGGTGAAAAATGTCGTCGACACACTTCAACTTCTTTCACTGCGGCTCTTGCTCGATGTCGGTAGTATGTTATCAGTCAATGTCTCCGCCTGTGGTTGGATCATTTGGATGGGGGTACTGGTACTAATAAACTCTGTAGTGTTTTTCCTTTTAAAATATTCACTGTGACATGGCACTGAATTTGATTTGCAATGAGTGTTTGAGCGGTATCACAGTGGACTAGTGTTGCCGCGGCTCGGCTCAGCTCGGATAATACATAGCGGCTCCAGCTTGGCTCCGGCTAATAGCCATTTACTGATAGCTCGGCTGATGGCTTAGCCATGGCTCATATACAAAATTCTGATCTCTCTCCCAGTCACACCTGTGTGATGATTTTGATACCTATTCTGTATATACTGTGTTTATACATAATATATTGCATATTTGAAGCAAAATTGAAGGGTTTATTCAAATATGCATTGGTATAATGAAACCTGGCATGATACATTGTCACAGCCACATGTGCAACTGTTCATGTCACTTGTCAACATTCTGTATTGTGGTTCCTTCCAACAGTTATCTTGACACTAATATTGGTACTGGCTACCTCACACATTATTTTTGAATTAAAATTCTAGGTAAAACATCATATTCTAGGTGTATTTGCTGCCTCTCATATATTTTGGGCTGAAGCCGTGGCTTGAGTGGCTTGGAGCTGAGCTAAGCTGGTGACAGTGCGAGCAGAGCCGTTGGGAGCCAGAGCCATTGGGGCAGCTTGGCTCCGCTAATTTCTGGCTCAGCTCGCATGGCTAGTGGCTTGAAGCTAAGCCATGGCAACACTACAGTGGACAATGTGACGTTGATTCAGCGGTGTCAAAAGAATCATGCAAGCAGAGTGGAAGACAGAATTTTGCCTAGTAAAGATCTTCACCAGAACAAACAGGGGTAGTTTCGGTCAAAATAATGAGCCAAAAAGCATTCAAGTCATGTAAAGTGCATATGGTTGTCATTCTAGATGACTGAAGAAGAAGAGCCATACTTAGAGTATCTAGGGTAAAAGAAAAATGCATGAGAAATTTGAAATATGTTGGACCAACAAGGACCTCGCATCAAAAAGTTACACATGGGACAAAAAACCCTCTTTCCTCTAGACAAAATTTGAAATTCTACATGAAGATGAATGTAACTATAATTTCTTTGCAGTTTATTGTCAAAGCTTAACTGTGCTTAGGGGGAAGTGTATTCAAACCAGTCAAAACAAGCTGTCGACAGCTTCATAGCATCTCCTACAGGCTTCCTAAAATCATCATAATTTGAATATGTACTCTTCATACCAGTATATATCATGCCATATTTTTATTTGGAGCAAATACAATCTCTGAGTATGGCTCTGAGGCCATGGCATTTCAGAGTTTCTGAAATTTCTTTTTATATCATAATTTTGAAACTCAGTTAATGGAGACTACAAAATTCAGTTGCATGGTAAGTGAAAGAGATTCCCACAATATATGACGGAAATCTTAGGGATCAGAATTTCACTTAGAAACCTGGGTTAAAAGGACAAGTCTTAAATTAGCATTTAAGGACTTGTAATTATAAGATACTCCCAATTATGGCACAGGATTGATAAAGTTTAATTAAATTTGTGTCTGAATTGCCAAAGAAGGTCTTGCAATGTCTAAACAATAACAACTGATATAGGTTAGCAAGTCTTTCCTCATAATTTCTACCTATGTTATGTAATTCTATATTTAAAGATACAATGTGGCACCAGCCAGATTTGGTGCTATTAAATATATCTGGTCATACCAATGACACACCGATTTCCTGATGTTTTCACTGAAATTCAGGCAACTCTCAAACAGATTTATTTTTACCCTTGTGACTAACATGGCTGAGGGAGCCATTTGGCAGTTAGCTTCAGTTCAGAATACTCTATTTTCCACCCAAATAATGTTGAGAAGATTCCATCCTCAGTTTTTCTATTGGACATGGGGACAGCACTGAAGAGCAGAGGAAATGAAGCAGACTTTGATACTATTTTCAAAAAAATAGAACCTCCCCCAATGTTTGTGTCATTATGGGCTTTCTACAGCTTACTACATATCACAGATTAGCTACAATCCATCCAAATTGAGTCCCATGTATGTGGGAGCAAAAAAAAAACCGATTTCTTGAGGTTTAGTACCAAAATTCACTGAAAGTGGGGCTCCCAACAAAATGTATGATACAAATCACTGAAAAAGTGCCATTTAGTGACCACCAAATTTTTTGGGGGTCTGGTACCAAACATCTTAATGAGTATTCAGAGGTCCTCCAGTTCCATCTATGGTCACCTTGCTAAATATTAATAGTTAATTATGTAGTTGCTTGTTATTAGTCCATGTTGCTTCAATCAAACAGGGCAAGTTTACTGAGGGAGAAATTGTCCTTCAACAGCTTTCTGATAGCTTTTCTTAGGTGTTGTAGGTCATTGTACAAAAGTCATCCTTGTTGAGGAGCATGTGATATGTCCACCAGACAGCAACAAACAAAGTAGGGATGGTAACATTCAGTTCAGAACCATGGTTTGAACCTGAACACAGTTGAACCTGACCAGTTTGGTCCAAGGTTTGTGCCTAGGGAAGAACTGGTCCAATGGTCCAGTTCAAGGTCTGGAGTGGCCAAAGAATTTGAGAACCTGTTTGAATGGGTTTGAACCTGAATGGACCCATGTAGATGCTGTAAGCTAATATTAAATTGTGATGCTCGCAGTGCATTAGCGTCACCAGATCATGTGTTGTGATCACGTGCATGTTCAATGTATGAACAACAACTCCATTTAATGTTTTTTTTACATGAAACTAGGCCCATTTACCCACACTCAAGATACCTTCAAGTCTTTGAGTTTTAAGCTCTGGCCAAAACCAAAAGCACCAACAGCTTGTGACTCATGCCTGGGACTAATTGTAGGGCTTCCAATGCACTGATTGTCCTTTTTGCCTTGTTGCACTAAGTATAGCACATCTCAATTGCTATATGCCCCCAGTTCATGCCAAAGGCAGCTGTCAGAACCTCCCACATGCACACTTTTGTGTGCATCATTGTTTAAATTTCAAATTTGACACATTGCACTCAGGAAATGGGTACATACTTTTCTACTCTCCTTATGTTATTGCCTTGAGGGTGCTCTGTGGGAGTGAGCCCCATCTGATAAGACATTTTTGTCAGCTTTACTATTATATTTACTGTGATGACCAAGCTTTGCTGATGCCAAGCACAATTCAGAATCATATTCCGAATTGTGCACCATATTTTGTGCAATGTGCAGTGCATAATCTACAGCTTATTTTAAGGCACCTGTGGCATGAACAATGGTATTATCACATTACAGCTCCCATAATGGCATCATTCCTTTCCCAACATTCTCTTCTTGCCTGTTTGCCAAAATTCATGCCCAGCTCATACTAATTGTCTCGATTATTATAGAATATTTTATTGTCATGTGCCATTTCTTAGCCTTGATTCAGGGCACTCAATGCATGGCATTGTGCCTATCTTATTGTTTTTAGCTCAAATGTGGTTGCAGCAATTCTGCAGATGAAATACTACAGTATTTAAAGTAAGCTATTTTTTCTGTCTTCACTACATCTCCCATTAACACTTCCTACAACACAAATCTCATCTATAAAAATTCTATACCAACAATGTCAGGCTGTGCCATTGGAACTGATGGAAGCCTTCTTGATGAGAAAGACATGGTGTGGTATGAAGACATTGACTCTGCAGAGCCAATTAAACAAGCAGCCACCCCCTCCACAACCACAGCCAGTTTGTCTGCAACCATTCATCCTTTTTTTTGTGGTGGCCCAGCCCCTGCTATTGTAGTGGCAGGTACTCATCATTCCAGATGCACCACATGTCCTTCCAACAAGCTTACTGATCCTGATAATCCTGAAACATTGTCTTCTGATACTATGCACAAGTGCAAGGCTTCTGGTGGCACAGAAGCAAGTTGTCATGTCAATCACAAGGTTGTCGTTGATGACAAAGGGTCAATCAACAGCAGCAAAAACAGGAAAGGTTCATTTTCGCTCATCTAATGTTATATAAGTCTGGTTCGTAGTTTGGACCACTTGAGAACTGGAACCTGACCATTTTGGACTGAACTAATGGTCACGTCCAAGGTTTGCCATAATTTGTGGACTGAACCAATAGTCTGGTGATAGGCAAGTTAGAACTATGAGGTTGTAGCCTGGACACTCTGATGAGTTTGAAGCCTTCAGTGGTTTATAATCAGAGTTTGACAACAACACTATAGCTTAGTGGTCTAAAGCATCGCTGGCCCGTTGTGAGGTCGCTGGTTTGAATCCAGCTAGTGTCACTTTTGGGATTTACTCAATTACCATGTTTGTATTTCACAACCCTGCATCTCCACATTGATCACCATTTCTTCGCCCATCCTTCATGCTGTTGCAATTTTGTCAAACCCACAGAAAAACTTACACTGAACTGATCCTACGTGGCACAGGTATTTCCTTATCATTGGCTGTGTGGTTCAGGGGCTGTATGTATGACACTTTCTATGTATTATTGAGGCTCATAAAGTCGCTCTCAATCTGTTATGTGCTACTGCTTCTTGCATGCATTTGTGATTACTTTCCCCCCCTAAGCCACACCAGGAAAATAGCAGGACTATATAATTGTTAATACATCTTCTCTGATGAGCTCAAGACACAGTGTCTCAGATGACTGAAGAGACTCTGTGATAATGCACAGTGATGAATGCTCACACATTACGGGAAGTTATCAAGCCTTATTTACAGCTTCTTAGAAGGTTATCACTGATTATGGGTCAGATATCACATCAATATCACCTGTCCTCAGCCAGTATGACATGAATTTGGGCCTCTTCGTACCTTTTCCTTCTTGGTAAGCATCCATCCATCTGATCATCCAATGCTCCCACTTCGGGGGCTAGGTGGAATGTCTGGAGCTAGGTTGAAGAGGCTCTTGAGCAAGAGCTGCCTGGGCTAATAACTGCTTTTGTGCATTAGAATTATGACTAATGTTGAGTATAGAATGTAAATCTACTGTTATATCAATAATTTATCAATCTCAGCAGCAATAAATGCAAAAATCTGATATGTGCCACCTCAAGAAATTCACAACCTCAAATTGGCCGCTGCACAGCCATAGCACAGCCACTATCCATAAGCTAAGTGCACCATACATGGCAGACACCTGGGACATACATTTGTCCCCTTGACAAAATTAGAATACTACTGCGAGAAATAAATAGATTATTGTTATACTTTTGCCTACTGGAGATATCCTAAGCAAGAATTAGATTCCAGAATTAATTATTCGAGGCAGACAAAAGAATAACCTGTATTCAGAATTTATCTGGAGAATATAATCTAAATTTGGATAACACATCTGTTTGAGGCACATAACTATTGTCAGAATTTGATTGCGCCAATTGTTCCGTCAGGTCAACAAAAGTGTTTCCCATATTTAGATTATTTCTTGATGACAAAATCATTGCCCAGCCCCAAACAATGATTTTGTCATCAAGAAATAATCTAAATATGAGAAACACTTTTATTGACCTGACGGAACAATTGGCGCAATCAAATTCTGACAATAGTTATGTGCCTCAAACAGATGTGTTATCCAAATTTAGATTATATTCTCCAGATAAATCCTGAATACGGGTTATTCTTTTGTCTGTCTCGAATAATTAATTCTGGAATCTAATTCTTGCTTAGGTTATCTCCAGTAGGCAAAAGTATAACAATAATCTATTTATTTCTCGCAGTAGTATTCTAATTTTGTCAAGGGGACAAATACTGTTATGTCCCAGGTGAGACGGCGTCAAATTTGCACCTATCCCAAACTCATTTTAAATCCTATCGTAATGTTATCGTTTTCGGACGAATTTGTCATTTCCTCAAATAGATTACCATATTTGAAATTTGACAACAGATTTGCAACAGTTACTAATTCAATCGCAAAATTCTGAGTTTTTCTTAGGGACAAATGTTATTGTGTGGCGGGGCCCATGAATTTGTGCGCCTATCATATTCTAAGTTTTTACCAAACAATTTGTACATAGAACAAAAGAATTGACAGATTTAGGGTTTGCAAAAGAATTTGCCGCTATCGCAAATCCTCTCCCAAACGATAACATTACGATATGATTGTAAAAGGATTTGCAATATGTACAAATCCGGCATCGTCTGCCGTGATAGTAGATACAGGCATTTCCCACCAAACACCGACTCTTTGCTCAACCACCACCAACCAATAACTCACAAGGAACCATTGAGCATGGCAGGTGAATAACATGTACTCTTCAATGCTGAGTGTATCGACGAGTATTTTACTTCGCATAGGTCAATCAGCACTCTTGATCGGCGCAACTGGCGCAACTGGAAAATATTTGCTGAAAGAGCTGCTGTCGTCTCCACATTTCACTCGTGTGGGAGAGTATGGCCGTAGAGTCACACCACTAGACCAGATTACGTCCGGGAAGGAGAAGTTAGAGCAGAAAACAGTGAATTTTGAGAAGCTTGAAGATGCTGGACTGAATGCTGGAAAGTGGGATGTCGTCTTCATCACGTCATTACTTCAAATTCGAATATAGCCATTCGTGATACTAAATGCTATTTGCATAGGCTTGGAACTACACGAAATGCTGCTGGATCGGCCGCTGCTTTTGAGAAAATTGATAGGGAGTGAGTTCAATGTTTGGACCACTAGATACATTTTACCGGTAGCTCATTCAAATCGGCAGATATGTCGTCAGCGCGGCTCACGCAGCTAAGACTGATAGCTCAAATTATCCACAGCGTCTTGTCTATCTTTCTGTACGTTAGGATCATATGTTCATAACTATGGCTCACCTTCCTTCATAGTCTGCAGGGTCGAATGCATCATCCCACTTCCTATATACCAGGTAAAACCTCAATTATTTGTCTCTTAACTCAATAACTCAGCTCGCCTCGATAACAGGAGCAAAGGCATGACGGAGCTTGCGTTGGCAGATGCTGGATACAATGATACAATAATTTTCAGACCTGCCTTCTTGAGAGATGCTGAACGACCTGAATCATCGGCATTGGCGACCGTCGCTAGGTCTGAGAATTTCAGCTTATTGACTGCACGGTAGTCTGCTAACTGCCCACCGGGCATAGTCATTTTGTTAGCGCATTATCACATCTCTCTCTCAATATCGGGATTCCAGTGCGCTATAATATTTTAAAAATTTACGCTGAGACTTATCACGCCCCTTTAGGTCTCCGATCTCGCGAAGAGCATGCGTATTGCTGGGGAATTGGGTTCTTCCGCACTCCCACCGGCTGCTGAGGCTTCGAAAGAGGGTAACGACACGCCTTTCACCGTAATCAATACCCGAGGTGCCGTTGCTCTGGCAAAAATGGACACTTAATCATTCCTTAATTTTATTAAATCCTTTGGGGGAGCTTATGTTGCCACACAACTAATTTGGCTTTATTTTATACCTTCGTACACTTCAAAGCGCGTGACCGACAACTCGCAAACTTTGTACTAAGCTTCAATAGGTATTGATATTGGCGGAACTCACACCTTCTGTGTTGTAAGAGATGACTGTGGTTTCGAGGTATTTCGCTGACTGTTTTTGGTATACATATAGGTTCGGTTGAAGCAGCCTTCCCGCAGTTGAGTGACATTTTTCGGTTGTTTTTCTGCTACTGTCCTTTTCCACTAGGTCAATCTGCTTCGCTTCTCAGTGCCACAGGTGGAACTGGCAGGGCTGGCAGAATTACTATCACCGGCGCACTTTACAACAGGAGTGACTACAACTATACTCCCCATCTCGTGACCTGTCGACCAATTAAAGTCCGAAAGTTAACGGGGAAGTTGGTGCAGAAAATCATGATTTTGAGAAACTCGAGGAAGTCGGGCTCAACGCAGGCAGGTGGGATGTGTCCTTTCAGCATCGACATTTTTGTCTTGAAAGAGCACATGACACATGAAGGGCTCGGAACCACAAGAAAAACGCAGAATCAGTGGCCGCTTTTGAGAAAATCGACAGAATGAGCCAAGAGCGGCCAAGCCTTGGTCAAGTCACTCGCAAAGCCAATCATTCCAGACATGTGATCAATGCTGCCTGTGCCTATGTAAGTCTAATGACGCGGGATCATTCGCAGCGTCTCGTTCATATTTCGGTGAGTTCACGTCTGATGAATTGTGCACATGCAGTCGGCTGGGGCGTATCCAACGATCAGTTTCAATTGCACTGGAGGTATGCACTTCATTTACAGCTTTTTCAAGCAAGCACTAAGATGACGCGTTGTTAGGAGCATAAGGCTTGACAGAAATTAGTCTCGCGAGGGATACAATCATATTCAGGCCGGGCTTATTGATATATAGGTGCACGGGATAGCCCAAAATGCATGCACTTCAAGCTGGAGAGTGAATGGAGTCAATGGATACACGACAAATTACTCTTTTCTGCTCTTGAAGCTCCGGGTTTTTCTTAACCTGGGACTTTTCCGAACGGCATAGTGTCAGCTGACATATTTTCGGATCTAGGTACGCGTACTTTTATTTTGCGGAGGTGGGACTGCCACCATTCTAGCTGCTCTGTACTTGGAAAGAGCATACACATTACTGCCCAGTTAGGCTCTTCTGCGCTCTGCTGAAGCTTTAAAAGCGGGGATGACATCTTTCATCGTGACTGACACAAAAGTGTGGCTGCTCTGGCGGAGACGGCAGCTTAGCATGGACATGACCTTGCTCTCGACCTGCTCTCGGATTCGATTCATCTAATGTCAAAAAGGTAGCATGGCATGCGCAATGATATTACGACGCAAGAAACAGTCATGAGATGCGACTAGCTTGTTAGTAGTTCCGTGTTCTCTTGTGCTGTGTGGTATCCATTACATGGTGGACCAATAGGAGCACTAAAAACAAGCTAATGCCGTGAAGCAGATAAAACTGGTCGGCTGTAAAGTATTTGTGGCAATAAATGGGAAGATCATTAATAAAATACGAACGATGGATGTCATAGCGAAGAAGAAAATAGGGCAGTACAGAGCAGGATGCCAGGTAAGGTTACGGTGTCTCGCTCCTGAGAGAAGAATTGGTGCCAAAATTGGCAGGCGGCAATGGCAGTGAGGGAACAGAATGTCGAGCCTGTCGGGGCCTCAACTTGCTGTACTCGGAAGATGAGCGTCCAGCTGAATCATGTCGTATAAGCGGGAATGGGCGCATGGATTGAACATGGTCACGTTCTTCCGGATGCGTGTCTGGTGATGTATCGGCCAGGAGCCAGACAGAAGGGACGTCCTCAGCAATCACACCAGCTGAGAACGGATGAGGTCTTTCTTCGAGTTT